AGCCTTTTTTAGGTCCAGATAGATGCAGTCAACCCAGCCATCTCTTTCCTGTAATATCTCTGTGGCCCGATCATAGAAACTGAGTAAATTCGATACACAGGATCTTCCTGATCGAAAACCATACTGTCTGTCTGATATTATATCATTTCTCTCCAGGTGTTCTACCCATTTAGTTTTGATTAGCTTTTCCAATACTTTCACTATTACACTTGTCAATGATACAGGTCTATAATTGAGGGGGTCTTCCTTGCTGCCACTTTTGTAGATTGGAACTATGTTAGCCTGTTTCCACACGTCTGCTACGATTCCTGTACACGGGGATGCCTGAAAGATCAGGTGAAGTGGAATGCTGAGCTCAGATGCACATTCTCTCAGAACCCATGGTGAAACGCCATCTGGGCCAGCTGCTTTGTTCCTCCCGAGCTCCTTTAGCATATTTTCCACTTCATCTCTAGACACCTCTATCCGCTCTATGTTGTTCTCTGGAATTCTTATTGTGTCTGGTTCTCTGAAGATTTCATTTTGTACAAACACACTTTGGAACTTTTCATTTAATGTTTCACACATTTCCTTTTCATTTTCCGTGAATCTGTTTCCCATTTCCAACCTCTGGATATTATCCTTTACCTGCAATTTGTTGTTTATGAATTTGTAGAATAGTCCCGGTTCTGTTTTACATTTGTCTGCTATCCCTTTTTCAAAATTTCTTTCTGCCTCTCTCCTTACTGCTGTATAATTGTTTCTCGCATCTTTGTATCGCTGGTATGTTTGGGGATTTGGCCTCTTCCTATACTGATTCCATTTTTGTGTCTTTTGGTCTCTTGCCCTCTCACAATTTCTGTCGAACCAATCCTGTTTTCCAGGTCCTGCATCTCTGTTTTGGTATAAATTTTTTTGTGCCTTTATCATATATTTCACAAAAATTTGCCATACATCTCATTCACTTCCTTGCCTAGCATCAAGTCTGTCCAATTATACTCACTAAAAAAATTTCTAAGGTCACCATAATGTCCTCTCCTGAAGTCTGGTTTTTCAACTGCTTCAACCTCCTTATTTTCTTCCAGCTTATAACGCATTGCATACTTTATTCCCAAAAAGACATGGTCACTTTTACCCAAGGGAGGAAGGTACTGAATGTCAAATATCTCTTCCTCCTTCCTGGTAAATATCAAATCTAGCATGGAGGGAACGTCCCCTTCCCTCATCCTCGTAGCTTGTTTAACATGTTGATACAAGAATGTTTCCAGGATGAGGTCTACAAATTTACAGGTCCAAAAATCTTCTGTTTTAGCTTCATATGCTTCCCAGTCTATGGATTTCAAGTTGAAGTCACCGACTATCAACAGTCGTGATCTATCGTTATCCGCTCTCGCTATAATCTCTCTCATTATTGTTATAAGACCTTCACGTTTACTATCTAGCTCCTCCTTTGACCATGTGCTGCTTGGCGGTGGACTATATGCATTTATCATCATTAGTTTATCATCCTCATAGCAGATCAATGCCAATCATAGCATAGCAATGCCATAGTGGATGGCATTCAGTGCTTGGGTCACCGTGGCAATGGCATTCAATAATGTTATTTTTACCCATAAAGATTTTACCAATGTTTGGAACAGAAAGCCTGTTAGGCTTATCGAGTTATTCCCCCCCCCCCCCCTTCCTCTCTCTGTTGACCAACAACTGACCTCTCCCAGGATGCAACCCACAACAGTTGCTTTAACTCCTGGGTACATTTTCTAATGCTAGGTGAACAGAGGCCTCAGGTGCAAAGAAAAATGCCCAAACGTTTCACCATACCCAGGAACTGAACTCGGGGTCCCGATTGGTTGTGAGCAGATCGCAATAACAAATGTGCTACAGGTCACCTCTCTAGGTATCTACTCCTGTCATTCTACAATTTAAGGACCGTACACCATGTTTTCTCCCTGAAAACAAAGAGAAAATAAATAAATTACTCCCCCAGCCCATTATATTTGACAACTAAAAAATTATTTTTCTTTTGATTTTAATAAGAAACTAGAAAAGTCAAATTTTGATTCCAACCATTTGGAATCAAAATGGTTGGAATCCATTCCAAAATAGAATTACTGTACATTCTATTTTGGTAGTCTTCGCAAGACCAAAGCCAAATGCCAACGGGCACATAAATTCTCAGCAACCAAGGAAGCCAAAAGGGTAGGAGAACCTGCATGTGCAGCTTCACAAGGCCAACATCCCGAGAGAGCACAGGGGCGAACAATCAACCAATAAGGTGCTCAAACTTTAGGTGGTAAACTTGCAGAACGGTAGAAGTTTCTCGCCACTCAAGTGTGCGGGTCCGACAGAACCCATGCGATGCCCCCAACAAAAAGAATACGAAGTCTACCAGCCAAGAAGACTTTGGAACCTCCAAATGCACCCAATACGGGTAAGAACCAAACTCAAATAAGGACAGATTTATCATGAGGACAGAATCCGGATCTTGCAGGAGGTATGCAGCAAGAGCCTCCCAAACCTTCCCAAGGGCAGATACAAGAGGCAAAAAACCAGCGGAAGGATGGGGGGAGGGGGGGCGAGGAACCCAAGGGAGCTCGCAACCGAACCAGGGGAGCAAGGACCCCAAATCATAATCAGACAGAGAAGTGGGGTAAGAAACCCCTCCCCGTACAACAACAAGCCCCGCGAAGAGGGCACTAACACCCAAGCGGGGTCAAAGGAGGCCCAAGTCCCCCAGGTTAACTCCTCCCCAGCCCCGGGATCCCGCAAGTCAGGACCCGGAGCAGAGCCGTCCTCCATGCCCTCCACCGCTGAAGAAAAGGCAGAATCCAAGGGAAAGGCTGAAAAGAAGGGGGTCTGCTGGTGGGACCCAGAAGCCTCGGTAGGAGGGACCAGCTCGAATGCCCTTGTCCCCAACCTGAATGGGGCAGCCCCCAAAGCTGCCAGTCTCATTACCAACCAAACCCTGACTAGACTTCGCAACCCTCAGACATTTGGGAGCAGGATGCAGGGGGAGGGGGAGCAAGATGAATAACAGGGGAAGGACCAAAGAGCGTGGACTGAACCAAAGTTGAAGCGACTAACGCTCCCCAGTTACACTCCACTGTAACATATTTCAAATGTACAGAATATTGTTTAAATAAAAATTATTGTGTCAAATTGGTTCAAAATATCAGGAAAATAAAAAGCATTCAATAACTATCTTTGATTGCCATAGAAATTATTAAGAAACAAATGAAATGAAAGAAATGATTTGCAACAAACCTCTAACCCAGGTCCGGGTCCCTATAGCCAAAGTGGAGCAGCCGCAGGGCATTCGAGTGGGAAACCAACCTAGCGCGTTGCAGCAACCTGAACCTAGCATGCAACATGGATGCTAGGTTCCTAACCGCAATGTCATCAGAATAATACTGGAGAATAAGCAGAGAACATGACTCGCAAGACTCTGGGTCAAAGGTGTCGTTGACCCAACAGGCAGCATGATGGAGGCAAAAGAGGTGACTGTCACCCTGAGACAAGAGCACACAGCAACCTTCAAACCCACATGAGGTGGGCTGGAATTTTGAAGACGCATCCATAGGTCCACCGAGCCCTGACAGGGTTTTCCAGAGCCCGTAGGATGACTGCTATGGGAAGCCCGGGCAAGGTGTTGCTAACCGGTTAAGACTCAAACTAACAACGGGGAGATCAAAACACTAAAACCCCTGCATAGTGTACAATCACAGGAGCCTAGCAGAGGGCCACCAAAATATTAGAAGTGGAACTATAGCCACACAAGGCAGACCCCCACCAGACAAGAAAATAAAAAAGTACAACGTCCCCAGAGGAAACAGGAACTGGCCGCCACGTAGGTAGGCAGGATGCACAACACCTTGACGCCCCAACCAGCACGATTCCACTCCCTAGCCAAGGCCAAACAAGGGGCCATGAAACCCCAGAAGGCCCCCAAGGGCAGGATAAATGCCGAGCAGCAAAAACCCCTATGGAAATGGCGTTCTGAACACACCAGGGAAGGGAAACCTAACACGCAAGGGCAGTACTAACAGGGCGCCTAGGGAAGGATGCCCCTAAGTGCTTGCAGCCCCGTACAGATGAGGACACCTGGCCACCACACACAACAACACTGCAGAGGTTGCCACGAAGGCAAAACCCCGCCTTTGGAAATTGAGGCCAGAGAAGACATCCGCCCTGGACCACATTAGCTAACAAACTAGAGTGCTGGGTAGCCGCTGCGGGGAGGGGAAGGCTGCACGGATGAGTGGCATGGCAGTGGAGTGTGACGTTTGCTTGTTTCCTTGGGATTGGAGGGAGTTCTGACTCTCTTTTTGGTTTTTCAGTGTACTTTTCTTACCATGTGGGGTTTGTTACTCCTACCTTTCTGGGTGCCAAACCCTGGTCGATGGCAGATAAGGAAAAATCCCAATCACAGGGGGGGAGGGGGAGTTCCAGGGCCATTGCTTCCTGAAACCTTTCTGAGGGGGGCCAGGTTCTGGCTCGTGGTCCCGGTAGGCTGAACTCCATAGACTGATGCCTTGCTCTAATATATCACACATTAACTCAGGGAGCCGAAGGGGCTCCCACAGAAAATGCAGCTCAAGGTCTCCTTCCGATAGTGGACACTTACACTTACCTGTCAGAAAACATGAGGCATCTGAAAGAACAAGGAGCAAGAAAGAGCAAGGAACCAAGTTGAATGAATAACCCGTCAATTTAACTGAATCGCCTTCTGCAGAGATGGGAATGAAGCTCCACTGCCTCTGTAACGACGACCTGACTGCCACCTGGTGGCTGTCAAGTAATAGTTCTATCAGTAGTTAGCAAAACAATAATTGCCTTTTCTTACAATTTCCAGTCTGGCTTGTAGGAGTCATGTGGTGTCTCTCAACCCCATGTGGTGAGACAGTTTGATCAATTGTCACAAGGGAGGATCCTGTAGCCAATGGTTTACATCCTCAGCTCATAGCTAAGGGGCCTGGATTCAAATCCCATTTTACTAACAGTGTTTAAAATGTAGACACTACCTGTATATTAGGGAAAACTTCAGTGTCTGCCAGCACACAGCAAAATCCTTAAATCTCCAATTCTCAGAATCATCAAAGAGTTGAAGAAGAGTTGTCAAATCTTGTAAATACCCAGAGGCTATATACCAGCTTCCTGAAAATATAATGTATATTTTGTATTAATTTTAAAACTGAAATCATTCAAATTAAAAAATTATAAAATTCAGAGAGAATATAACTTTATAATAGGGAAGGAAATTTAGTTCACCCCAACATACTTGGCTCTCTGCAGGTCATATAGTTTTGGACAAATCAGGATGGAGCACATTCCACTTTGAAGCCCTTGAGCCTAGGCTACAAACAACCCATACATTGTGCTGCTATACTTCAAAGATTTTGACTATCATTCATGGTAAGAATTAGCCTTAAGTTACCAAATGTACCAATACCTGTACTTTTTTCTTCAAAATAATAGATTCTAAAAAGAACTTAGCATTTATAGATTTAGTCCATTATTAGGGGGAAAATCTTGTATAGTATTTAGCAGTCAAGGGGGGCTCAAAATGACACCTGCATGAGAAAATTAATGTATAAAATGGATCATTTTAATAGACTTCAGACAGAAGACATCATAATACTACAGGATTTTTTATCTGACAAACCTGCAAGGAAATGTAACACTGGTTTCCCACTTCCTTGCTGGAGGAGGTAGATGACCAATTATATTTGTCATGAATAACAGTGGCATTATATAATGTATATTTTGTGTACCATTTAACACTCCACTGTAACATATTTCAAATGTACAGAATATTGTTTAAATAAAAATTATTGTGTCAAACTGGTTCAAAATATCAGGAAAATAAAAAACATTCAATAACTTTCTTTGATTGCCATAGAAACGATTAAGAAAAGTAACCTTTACTGCCAACCTTTACGTTAATGTAATTTGCAACAAACCTCTAGCATCAAATGTTACGAAATGATTTTTCTGGCAGACCCCTCTGTAGCTCCCTGAACTGGTCCATGAAAGCCACGTGGAAATCCACCAGACTTACCGGAAACCAGGATCAGGCTGGCCGAGACCTTACGTATCCTGGGCTGCCAACTCGTGATGGACAGGTGCATCACAGCCAGGGTACTTATCCTGAGGCAATGATTGTTTACCTAGGGGTGCCTAATTTCTTTCAAGCAGTTGCTTTTTTTTTTTTTTTTTTTTTTTTGCACAAATATATGCTTTCTGCTTGGCTTTCCCTATTTTCTGGTTGATCTCTGATCCTGTGTTCTCCTACCCTCATACAGTGAGCTAGATTCTGGTCCTGGCTCCTGGTTGGTGACAGATGGGCCTCGGAGCCCAGGTTAGCTAGACCAATGTTTGGTGATACCAGTTCACCCCAGGGAGCTACCGAGTGGTCACTCGTGGGGAAAAAACCCAGCGTTGAATGTAATGAAATGCCATTTTCTGGGCGAGTCCCGGAGGCTCCCTGGAGCTATCCAGGCTGAATGAATATGTACAACTTTCTGGCATCAGTCAATGCTTGGAGTTCTTGCCTACCGGGCACCACGAGCCAGAACCTGGCCCCCTCAGAGAGGCACGAGGAGCAATGGACTATAGAACCCCCCCCTTATGATTGAGAGCATTCTATGTCTGCCATCGACCGGGATTGGCACGCAGAAAGGTAGGCGCCCCAAAACAAACCCCTATTCTGGGAAACTATTGCGACCGAAGACCGAACTGGTGGACAGAACTCCCAAAACGAAAATTAGCAAACAAGCATGACTTCATCATGTCGCCGCGCCGCTGTCTGCGCAACCCCCCCCCCTCCCCGGGAGGGGGAAGAGGGGAGCATCAGACCCCACCATCGGTGACCCAACCATTAGTTCTTAGGCTGGATGTCAAAACGCGAAAACACCGCCGACCGGAGAGAGGGAGGGATGCCGGGGAGCCTACAGGACTCACCCAGAAATTGGTGTTTCATTACATTCAACGCTGGTTTTCTGGGGGGAGCCTCGTCGGCTCCCCGGAGTTAACTACCCAAAGATAAGGAAAAACAGGGACTTACCCAGGCAACGGTCTGTCCTCACTCCTCAACGTGAAGTTGAGACAATATGCTGCAACCGCCGACCCAACCAGGCCCAGGAACATACACTAGGTAGCGAGCAGCCAGGACCCTGTTCAATCTCCAAAACCCCGGGCCCGAATGTCCACCCAAGACATGTTGCCAAAGACGGCAGCCAAAGCAGTAAATTTACGAAAGTCGTGGGCCCAGGTAAAAACCGCAGGCTGGCTACACTTAACACTTTCTGCGGATGAGGACTCCTCCTGGCGTCCTGTTTCGCCTACCCGCTCCCGCATGGTGGACATAAATTTATGTCCTCTTTTAAAATATTTGTATAAAATTCAATTTTAATCCGATTTACTTTGGGTTTGTTTCAAACTGCGCGCCATGAGGCTCTCTTTCTCACCACTAGGCTGCATGGTACAATAAGTTCATGAAAGGTGTGGACCACTTCGATCAAATGGTATTACCATTTTACCCGGAAAACTCACAAGTGGATCTAAAAGATAACGTTTTATTTCCTGCAAATGGCTTTGCATAATGCCTTTATTTTGTACAAATACAACACAACTGATCAAAAAACCAGCGTTGAATGTAATGAAACGCCATTTTCTGGGTGAGCCCCGGAGGCTCCCTGGAGCTTATCGGGCTAATGTATGTTATGTTAGACCGGGACATTAGCTAAGGAGTTCAGACCTACCAGGGACCAGCGCCAGAACCTGGCCCCTTCAGAGAGGTTTCAGGGAGCAATGGCCCTGGAAAACCCCATATGGTTGGGGGTTTTCCTTATCTGCCATCGACCGGGGTTAGGCACCCAGAAAGGTAGGCGTAACAAAACAAACCCCACATGGTAAGAAACTACAACAAAAACCGAACAGAGAGGTAGAAAACTCCCTACAATCCCAAGGAAACAAGCAAACATCACACTTTACTGCCGCGCCGATCGTCCACGCAGCCCTCCCCACCCCGGGAGGGGGGAGCCCCGGACCTACCGCGCCGGCTGCCAAGCTCCAGTTCGGAAGCTAAGCTTCAACCAACGCAAAAAAACCGCCGACCGGTGGGAGGGAGGGTTTCCAGGGAGCCTCCGGGGCTCACCCAGAAAATGGCGTTTCATTACATTCAACGCTGGTTTTCTGTGGGGAGCCCCTACGGCTCCCTGGAGCTTCATACCCAAAGAGAAGGAAAAGAAAGGGCTAACCCGGGAGGCGGCCGCCACAAACTCTGCAACGCAAAGCCAAGACAACCGGTCGCAAACCTGCGACCCAAGGCAACAAGAACGCCCAAGAACAGACGCACATATGGATGGGCGGCCAAAAACCTGTGCGACCCACAATTCCCTGTGCCCGAAATGAGCCCGAGACGTCACCAACACAGCAGCAATTGCTGCAAACGTCTGAACAGCACGGGCGCAAAGACAGACCGCAGGAAGAAGGAAAACACTGCGGACGACCTGGGAGACCCGAGCCCTGAAAACAGGGAACGAAGGAACCGGATCAACCACAGCGCATCCCCAGGCACGGTACGCCGGCAACAGCAAAAAGCACAACTGGACAACACAGGACGCACCCCCCGGCCAAACCAAACAAGTACCAATACCCCAAGAACCCCTCCGGAAAGCAGCCGTCTCGACCGTCGCCAGGACAGAGAAAGGCTGCACACCAATAAAGCTACCACCAGTACCAAAGAGGAGGAAACTGAAACCGAAGGGGCTACCACAAACTGAGGGGAAGAGAAGAAGGCACCCTGAACAAGGACCAGGATGGCTCAGGCGACACATGAGCAGGCCGGAGGGGAAACAAAACGCGAGAAGACGTAATAAACGTCATACAGTCTCCAAGACGAAGCTCGCAGGTGGGACACCGTCAACAAAGCCACCTGAACACCATAGAGATGGCGATACCTGCATCAAAATACCAGACGCGAAGAGCCAAAGAGAAGGCCGAACCAGTCACGGACAGGACCGATTCGGCCTGCTGAAAGAGGCGAAGCCTCAGGAAAAACGCCCCGGGTACGGACACCTATCAAGCAGCGTCTGAAAAGAAGGCCGGGCCGGCCACCGTGGAACCATAAGGACTGTTCTCGTGGGAATGGGCTGCAACCGAGCCAGAACCCGAAGCAACAGCTGGACCGGGAGAAGAGGTACAGGTACCCCCCACCTCGACCAGGCCTGCCGAAAGCCTCCACCGTGAAGTCCTCGCAGGTGGGAAGGGCGCCACAAAACGGGCGACGCCTAGACCACGCCGACCCGAAGACGTCCATGGCCAGGAGTCCATAAGCCCAACAGAGCCAACAAAACGAATCGGCGACGACTGGCCAACCCACGAAGAGGAATGAACCGAGACAGCTGTCCACCAGGACGCAGGACACACCCCGGACACGAACCACACGGTTAACCAAACCCCCTGTGGTTCTGGCAAGAACCACCAGAGAACAGTCCAAACAGAGCTGAATGGTAGAGTACCTAGTGACCCAAACCCTCCGAAGCGCAAACCAGACAGCCATGAACACCTGAACCGGGCTGTGAGCCCGACGGACAGACAGACTCCATCAACCTCGGCCGACCTGGTGAGCACTGGTCACAAAGCCCCAGCCGAGAGACGACCCGTCCGTGAACACATCGAGCGAAGGCTCGGGGAGCTGCCAAGGCACGGAACCCCGAAAACCCCAAAGAGGAAGCTGGTGACGCAGCACCAACACCAGATCCCCAGAGGAACCCAAGGAATGCAAGAGGCGGAAGTGGAGTCTCCGTAGGAACCAACCGACGACGGAGCCAAACCCGACTCCGCGGGCAGACAAGCACGCCGAAGTGCAAACTCCCGCACAACCGCCCAAGCAACCGCTGAGCAACCCGGGACCCACTCCTGAACAGCCAAAGGCGGGACCACAGCCACAGTAACACTTCTGGAGGGAAGACAATGAGGGGCCGCAAGAGCCTGAAACAAGGCCCAGGTCCGAACCCGGGACGGAAACAGAAGGTAAAACCTCCAGATCACCAGGAAATCAAACCCAGCGATCTGGAAAGAACCATCCCCTGGCGAGCAGACAAGCGGACTGACTGGGAGCCCACTCCAGCCAGTCGTCGAGGTAGGCCAGA